ACCGTCAGAAAAACAACCTGTTTGTGCTTCTTATATGGTTTTAATGGGTTGGTGCCTGCCTCTGGTGCCTTTTGTATGATTGGTGTATGGCCTTTCTAATTCTTCAATATCCCCCTTTTTCATAGGGTCTCAGTATAGGCCGTTTGTGTATGTAGGCTAGCATTGTTTGTGTTTTTGTATCTGAACGGTCACAATCACACCTGTTGCCGCACGCTTGTGAAGGACAAATCCATGTGGATACAATTAACCTCTAGCCGCCACCCACTTACAATAATAGCCTTGTGTTTTTTTTAGTAGGGGTTCTCTGTCAATTCCTAACTTGTCAGGCTTGATGCCAATTCCCCTGTCTAGATAACGTTGGTGCAATGTCGCTGGATTGGCATCCCAAGACGTGGTGTTGCATCTTCAAGCGATATACAACGCTTTCGAATAAATCTGCCGTGAAGACGCTGCCAGACTGTTCGTCGCATCATCATTTTCTCAATGTGACAGTTTCTCAGGCGTCCGTGTAGTATGACAGAGTACCTCAGCGGCTACTTTATTAGATTCCTCCTCCAACTCATTCATTCATTCGGTGTTTTCACTCGTCGTCCAGACGCCGTCCAGAACAGCCCCCTCTCAGAGAGGATGTTGGTTATTTTCCCTCTCGCTGGCTGCACTGAAAACTAGGTATTGAGGAACCCCCAGAAAACAGCTTTTCAGGATGCTGTAGATTTCCGTTAGCTATAGGTGGTATATTGCCATCATTGCCTTTTCACTTATCTAACAGAATTGAATAGGTGAACAAGTTTCTACAATGTCTTCAGCCATTCAATTATATCAGACCTGTAATTAGTTTGTGATTGGAAGGATGCATTTGTTTAAAGTATACAAACCAGGCTGGTGTATACAGCATCTCTTCCTCACGCTGATGATAGCCAGGCAAGCACGTAGCCGTCTTCCACTCTCAGTACTGTATAAAGTATTCATCGTCCTGTGTTGCAGTCATGCAATATGCACAGCCTCTTAAGGCTGACGTGGCGGAGTCTCAGAAGCTGAACTTGCCAGTGAACTGGGTCACACACACACGGTTAGTGCTATCTGGGATCCTTGGGACAGCACTACCCTTAACCTTAACCCTTACCTAGCCCTCACCTTACCTTAACCATATAAAATGTCAAAGTCAATGGGGTGACGTCCCAAGAATCCCAGATTGCAAGGACCACACACACGCTGCTCGGCTCTCGTCTCCTTAAACTCCTCATTTAATAGAGAAAAACACTGGGCCGGAACAAAATGGCCACCTTTGATTTAGAGGAAGACTGCTGTGTTTGGATTTACGTAACAAGGCAATGCATGTTTGACAGCCAAAGCGGGGTGGGGAAATGTAAGCGATTTTCTTGCGGAACGTTCGCTGGTTATTTATACTGCCCGGGAAGATGATTCCTCCCCCTTTTTTCCTGGTAATGTGAGCCCTGACCTCCCACAGAGCGCCATTGGTGTTTACTACCAACCCAAAGGTTCCGAGGTACTGCCAGTACTCTGTGGGGTTGTACACACACACACACACACACACACACACACACACACACACACACACAACCAAGACCTTCCCAGAGACAGATGTATGTTCTCATACCATTGCTTAACAGCTTCTGTAAATTCTACCCCAGCCGAGTCTCTCCGACACTTTGGGAGCTGCTGCTTTTGTAAACGGACACAAAATGGAGGAAAACATGAGTCTATCTGCTGCTTGTGATTGTGTGAACGTGCCCAGTGTTTTAAGAACTGCCTACCTGCCTCCTCTTCAGGCCTATAAAGAACTCACCGTTGAGAGACTGGCTGAGTCATTGTAACAGAGGAATGATTAGAAACCTGATTGAAAATTCTCAGCGAAGCCCTAAAACCTTGAAAAAGTGAATTAATTAACTATAATACTGCAATATGTCCTCAAGGGAGCATGGCTGGGATTGGCTACTGACCATAGAATTAAAGAAACAATAGGCTATGGAAGCCTATAAGCGATTTTAAATACAAAGGCAAATATCCCTGCAGCTTGCTAAAACGTACAGGTGACACGACACACACCATAGCCCCCCACATAGCATATTATCCACATGATCAGCATTTTGTGAGTGATGCTGCGTCTTCAATCTCACTCAGTCTTGCACAGAAACGTCTCATCGATCGCATGTCTTCACTCTGTTCTAAGTTTTCATATTGGGGGGTAGGGTGTTGATAATATCGCCTGCAGTGCCCAGACTCCTCCTGTTAACTTACGGCTCCATGCTCTGAACCGGCAAACTCTGTCTCTCTCTGTATGCCACAGTGGGACTGATCAAGCGTCCGGCCAATAAGAATCTGATTTGTTCTGTCTGTGTGTTCAGCCAGTGTGTGTGTGTGTGTGAGAGAGTGTAAATGAGAGAAGGTGCATGCTATGGGGTGGTGGCGGCAGTACGTTTGTCACAAGTAAGTTAAGCTAGGTTACATTAGGGGTCTTGATTTCAATGGCACATTTCCAGTAAAAACAAAACATTTTTTAAAAGAAAAGGTAAATTATAAAGGAACTGACCCTCCCAAAATGTGCGTTCCAGTGCCTCGAGGCATTTCCCTCCCTGCCCCGTCCACACCACTGTTACAAACACTGGCCAAATATTGCTCTTGGATGACTGGCATTGACAGGACTGGACAGGGAGAAGGATATAACGCCAGTTGGAAGACCAGTCCTGCACTGCTGAAACTCAATAGCCGTGAATGAGGTACGAACTTGCAAACGGTGGGCAATTACAAAATAAAGAAACTTGATCTGAATGGGTCTGGAAAAATGGGCATGACTAACTCTCCAGGAATGTCTCCTGGTCAAAAGAAGAACGGCAGCAATTTTTCTGCAGTAAAAATACTAATTCTGTTGAATCTCGTTGGAGAAATCCCTAAAGCCTTCTGCATATTATGTTAAGCTCTCTTTACTGATTCTAGACCTGCTTTTAATTAAAATGGTAGGAGCCACATTGTGTGGTGATCAGTTTGCTCAGAGGTGGTAGATCCTCTGCCTTTTCACAGGGGTTGCCCCTTATAGCAGACGCGTGCAGTTCCACTCATCTCTAGAATGATGGATAATTAGTTTTACTACCAGCAAATGCAGGTAATGTAGGTTTTTAGATCAGTGAATGACGCAAGATTAAGCAGATTTCTTACAGACATCTTCTCATTTTGTTAAGTATGTCGTTTGCAGTCTGAGTGGAATAGGTTATTTTATATTGCAGCTCAGTACACCACAGATAGTCCTTCAGACAGACTATAACTGGGAATCTGCCCTGCATTTGCACTGCATATCAAACACTTAAAACTCTCTATTGCTCTGAGTTGATATGGGCCTGTCTCATCAGCCAGTGTTAATAAGAGTAAAGATTGTCCCCGTGATAGATACCGCCGAGCAGGCGACTGGAAAATGAGGAACCCACCAGTCGATTAGGTGGGAGAATTGGGATTCATTTGCGTCGACAGTGTTAGTGTTAGCTTCAGCACCTCCTATCTGTAATACACACAGACACACAGGCACACAGACACACAGGCACACACAGACACAGACACAGAGAGAGACACCACACACACACACACACACACACTACCACAAATTGATGAACTCAGCTCAGGTCCATTGTAGAGATGAGCACAGGAAAAGAGTCACAATTGTGAAGGGTCAGCTCAGCTCAAAGAGAGGACATCACTGTCGCTCCAGGGAAGAGAGCCATCACTGTCAGGTCCAGAGAGAGGCCATCACTCACCTAAGCAAGAGAGTACTGCGCTCAGAGCCATTGTCGCTCGAAGAGAGGTCATCACTGTCGCTCCAGGAAGAGAGGCCATCACTGTCGCTCCAGGAAGAGAGGCCATCACTGTCGCTCCAGGGAAGAGAGGCATCACTGTCGCTCCAGGGAAGAGAGTCATCACTGTCGCTCCAGGGAAGAGAGGCATCACTGTCGCTCCAGGGAAGAGAGGCCATCACTGTCGCTCCAGGGAAGAGAGGCCATCACTGTCGCTCCAGGGAAGAGAGGCCATCACTGTCGCTCCAGGGAAGAGAGGCCATCACTGTCGCTCCAGCGAAGAGAGGCCATCACTGTCGCTCCAGCGAAGAGAGGCCATCACTGTCGCTCCAGCGAAGAGAGGCCATCACTGTCGCTCCAGCGAAGAGAGGCCATCACTGTCGCTCCAGGGAAGAGAGGCCGAAAGACACACTGTCGCCCAGTGAAGAGAGGCATCACTGGATCCACGAAGAGTGTGCTAGGGCCACACTGCTCTCAGGAAGAGAGGCCATCACTGTCGCTCCAGGAGAGCCATCACGTCGCCCAGGAGAGCATCACTGTCGCTCAGCGAAGAGAGTCACTCACTGTCGCTCCAGCAAGAGATTACTGTCGCTCACGAGAGGTGTGTGCTCCAGAAGAGAGCCATCACTGGTCGCTCCAGGAAGAGAGATCACTGTCGCTCCACGAATAGAGGCCTCACGTCCGCTTAAAAGGTCATCACTGTTCCAGGAAAGAGGTCATCACTGTCGCTCCAGGAATAGTACAGTATCCATCCTGTCCTCCAGTAAGTAGTTTTAGCTTCTCGCGTCCGTTCCAGAAGAGCCGCATGTCCTTACTGTAACCCCAGTTTGTCTACTATTTTTCCACCACTGCTATTTAATGACGTCCCTGGGGTCCTCAGGCAGCTGTGAAGCCTGGGGCGCCCATGTATATGCCGGGCTATATGCGTCCCACATTGAGGCGATCACCTTTCCGTTGAGTTTCGTCAAACCAGTTTCTCCTATTTTCACACTGCTTTAATGTCCTGGGTCCTCAGGCAGCTGTGAACCTGGGGCCCATGTTAGCGGCTATATGCGCCCATCTGAGGCAATACTTTCGGCGTTGTTTCAATGACCTAGAATGTCCTGTACCTGACACAGTGCTACATCCTCAGTGGCTTCGCAGATCAAAATCTAACAGAGAGGCAGACATGTAGGACGTATTCTCTGTCACTGCAACCACATGAACTCGGAGGCCTTCGTTGAGGTTTTATGTGGACTTTTACTGCGAGAGTGAATGTGTAGTGGTGTGGAGAAATCTCCAGTGTTTGACTTGCTTTGTCTGTCTTATACAGTATAACAGAGAGCATACAAACCAAGTGACTGTTCATTTTTTCCCTGCTGTTTATGTGAATGTATGACTACACAACATGCAAACACTATGGAGGTGTGTGTGTGTGTGTGTGTGTTGTGTGTGTTGCTGCTTCCTCTCCCACACCCCAACAGTTAATAGAAGCGATGGGGTGCTGAGTGGAGACAGTGTCTCAGCGGAGGCCGAGGTTCTCAGCTCTCAGCCTTATCTGAAGTGTGATATATTCCAGAGCTGTCACTCCCTCACCTCCCTCACCCCAACCCCCAGAGGGGAGCCCAAAGCCTATAGACACACACACACACACACAGAAATAAAGAAGGGAGTCTGCCACTCAGCCAGCCTTCAACACTTCCTGTCTGCAACCGATCCAGAACAAACAACCACTGACTCCCGCATCGCCAGGGAAACGGCCCGGCCAACCAAAACATTCACACAGGCCACCATCACATTAACACGCCTCACATTGAATTCTTCCCCCATTGTGTGTGAAGTGGCCCCCTTTTTTAAAAGACCAGATCTTCTAACTTCTCCTATATTGAAGTATACTTGCAACGTGTTTCGATTTCGGTCAGGTTTTCTTTCAAAATGAAATGTCGCCGTGTCGTTTCTCGACATACGCCGCTCGGCAAAGACTGAGGTTTCCGATCAATGTCTTTAAACGCGGGAAATAATTATTTCACAGATGAAAGTAGGGAGAGGAAAACAAACAGCCTGTGGATTCAGCTCTGTAATTAGTGTGGTGTATCTTTTCTCACTGCAGCAAATTAGCCTCCCTGGATTCTGGAGCGTTCTGTCAGGGATGATACCCGCATTACTTTACACCAGCGTGGATCAGAGGCAGGAGGAGTTCAGGCTGGGGTTATTACCTCTTACAGATGGATAAGAAATGGGTCTGATTTGGAAAAATGGATTTACGTCCCACTATTGGGTAATAATTGCAAATCACAAGATCCGATTTGAGATCAGGCCCACTCGTAAACAGATACGTAGGCATATTTCCTGATGGAACACATGAAACTGGTTGTACAGCTGTGTAGCTGCAGGCAGTAGCACACTGGCAGAACTCAAGCCTCTTTTGATCTGTCTCTTCTCTCTCTCTCTCGCTTGCTTTCTCTCTCGCTCTCCTTCTCTCTCTCTCTCTCGCTCTCCTCTCTCGCTCTCTCTCTCGCTCTCTCTCCTCTCTCGCTCTCCTCTCTCGCTCTCCTCTCTCGCTCTCGCTTCTATCGCTCTCGCTCCTCCTCTCGCTCTCGCATCTCTTCTCTCTCTCTCGCTCTCCTCTCTCTCTTCACCGCTTCCTCTCTCGCTCTCCTTCTGGTCCTCTCCTTCTTCTCTCTCTCTCAGTCTCGCTCTCTCTCTCTCTCGCTCTCGCTCTCTCTCTCTCAGCTTCTCGGCCCTCTCCTCTCGCTCATCGCTTCCTCTAGCTCTCGCATCTCTCTCTCTCGATCTTCTTCTACTCTATCGCTCTCTCTCTCTATCATCGCTCTCCTCTCTCTCTCTCTCTACTCTCGCATCCTTGTTAAGTCGCTTTTCTTTCGCTATCCTTCTGTCTCTTCTCTCTTCTTTCTACTCTCTACGTCGATTCTCTCTGCCTATCTACTTATCTCTGCTCGATCTCTACTCATATCCTTCTATATCTTCTATCTCTATATCGCTCCGCGTACTCCTCTTCGTCTCTCTCTCCTCTCTCTCTCTTTCTCTCATGCTTCTCTACTCTCTTCTCTCTACTCCACTCTCAGCCTGTCAAATCCGAACTGTTCTCATCTCCCTCCTCCTCCCTCTCTCTCTCCCTCTCCATCTCTCTAGCCTCTCTTCTCTCATTCTCGCTCTCCTCGGCTCCTCTCTCACTCTCTCTCTCTCAACTCAAACGTGATTACGTGTCATCAAACAACAGCAGAACAGAAATGACAAACATGAAACATGAACTTTTAACACCAACCCTCCCTCTTCCTCCCCAGGAATGCCCCGGTTCTCCAGCCAGCCGGCAGCAACCAGCATACGCCTGGGAGACAGCCAGGTTCTGGCGTGTGACGTCAACCCAGACCTGGTGCCTTTAGCCCGGTGGGAGCGCGAGCGTGAGCCCCTGGAGCTGAGTGCTAGGCTGGTGCAGCTACCCAACGGAGCACTGGTGGTGAGCAACGCTTCGGAGGCCGACGCTGGGCTCTACCGCTGCATGGTGGAGAACGCTGGGCCCGCCAAGACCAGTGAGGAGGCCCAGCTCACAATACTGCCAGGTAATACTATAGTTCCACATACTGCCAGGTAATACTATAGATACTATATAGCTCCACATACTGCCAGGTAATACTATAGATACTATATAGCTCCACATACTGACAGGTAATACTATAGATACTATATGGCTCCAAATACTGCCAGGTAATACTATAGATACTATATAGTTCCACATACTGCCAGGTAATACTATAGATACTATATAGCTCCACATACTGCCAGGTAATACTATAGATACTATATAGCTCCACATACTGACAGGTAATACTATAGATACTATATAGCTCCACATACTGCCAGGTAATACTATAGATACTATATAGCTCCACATACTGCCAGGTAATACTATAGATACTATATAGCTCCACATACTGCCAGGTTTAATACTAATAGATCACTATATATCTCCACATCACTGGCCATGGTAATACTTTATAGATACTATATAGCTCCACAATACTGACAGGTAATACTATAGATACTGATATAGCTACAATACGCCAGGTAATACTATAGATACATAAGCTCCACATACTGCCAGGTAATCTATAGATACTATATAGCTCCACATACTAATACTATAGCTATAACCACATACTGACAGGTAATAATATATACTATATAAGCTCCACATACTGCCAGGTAATACTATAGATATATATAGTTCCACATACTGCCAGGTATATATTACTCCTCACATCTGACAGGTAATACTATAGATCTATATGCCACATACTGCCAGGTAATACTATAGATACTAATAGCTCATACTATACTATAATACTATATAGCCCACATACTGCCAGTAATACTATGATATAGATACTCCATACTGCCAGGTAATACTATAGGATACTATATAGCTGCCACGTACTGCCAGGTAATACTATAGATACTATATAGCTCCACATACTGACAGGTAATACTATAGATACTATATAGCTCCACATACTGCCAGGTAATACTATAGATACTATATAGCTCCACATACTGCCAGGTAATACTATAGATACTATATAGCTCCACATACTGACAGGTAATACTATAGATACTATATAGCTCCACATACTGCCAGGTAATACTATAGATACTATATAGCGCCACATACTGCCAGGTAATACTATAGATACTATATAGCTCCACGTACTGCCAGGTAATACTATAGATACTATATAGCTCCACATACTGCCAGGTAATACTATAGATGCGATATAGCTCCACATACTGCCAGGTAATACTATAGATACTATATAGCTCCACGTACTGCCAGGTAATACTATAGATACTATATAGCTCCACATACTGCCAGGTAATACTATAGATACTATATAGTTCCACATACTGACAGGTAATACTATAGATACTATATAGCTAGGACCTATATAGACGTCTGTAACACGGGCAAAAACCTTTTCCCAGCATCTCTGCTTTGGCAAAAAAGGTACATTAGTTGTATAATTAAGCAATAAGGCACTTCGGGGGTTTGTAGTATATGGCCAATATACCACGGCTAAGGGCTGTTCTTATCCACAACGCAACGCGGAGTGCCTGGATACAGCCATTCGCCGTGGTATATTGGCCATATACCACGAACCCCTGAGGTGCCTTATTGCTTTAATGTTTTTTTTTTCATGAGGATTTGAGGAGGATTTTTATTTTATTTTATCCATTTTAGAATACGGCTGTAGCGTAAAAAAATGAGGAAAAAGTCAAGGGGTCTGAATACTTTCCAAATGTATTGTAGGCTGGTCATCTAGGTTTGTACCTGTAGACTTGGCTCAGTTGGTAGAGCATGGCGCTTGCAATGCTAAAGTTGTGGGTTCGATTCCCACGGGGACCAGTACGAAAATGTATGAAAATATATGCACTCACTACTGCTCAATGTAATACTATAATAAAACACATTAAGCTGTTATCCGTAATTAACTGTTATCAGACTCAAGTTACAAATGCTGGTAAACACTCAAATACATTTTAGTTAAAAAAATAAAAAATGAAAAAGTAGTGCATTGGTCCTTTACTAGTCCTCTATTAGAGGACCGATATAGACGTCTTCAGTGCGGCCATTTTTTAAATTCTGCATCCCCCCGTCCCTCGGCACCCCCAAACTACTTCCCGTTGCTATGGCTGGAGACGACTAAAGGCCTATACTCGGAGCAGACCCTTCGTGGTCAGACATTATTGCCAGTTGAACACACCGCTCCTCCTCCACTCATGTAATTTACCTCCAGCATGAACACATTTGAGAGAGATAGAGAGAGAGAGAGAGAGCCCCTCCCAGTTGGGTTATCAGAGAGTGGGCTGTAACTCAATCGCCACACAAAGGGAGCTGAATTCCATTGTGTCAGAGCTTTAACCCCCAGAACTTTTATTTAGTGCTGTTGTTAAAGGGCTGGGGTCTGTCAGGCAGCGCAGAGAAGATATTAGAGGTCGTAAATCAGACTTCAACGAGGCTCAGCTGGTGTCTTTTTCTATCTCTCCCAGTATGTGTAGCTGAGAGTATATTTATTGAAAACACACACACTACCACAAGCACACACACACACAAGATGTTTTGCATCATAGAAGCAACGAGGCTTTTCAGGAATTCTTTGGTACCATACATGGAATGAAACAGTTGACTGAGATAAGTAGCAAGAACAATGGGGAAACACAAAGCAGTTTAGGGGTCCGTTTCATTTCAATTGAGTTCACTCCAAAAATCCTCATTTGAAAATGAATGCAATTTTTTTCAATTCTTTGAAGGGAATATCAAATATTTTCTTGAATTGACTGAAATTGACCCCCAAGCCTGAAAGGGTCATAAGAGGTTAATCACACCTTCAGTGTCACTGTCTTTTTGCAATCTCAAGGGGTTCACTTTGGGCAAAGGAGTTCAGCCAGTTCGGCGACCTCCTGTGTGGTCACCAGGGGTGTCGTTCATTTTACTGACCCAGATCAGATCTCAGGATGGGAGTCTTTTGAAGGGAGGAATGATGACTTGTTAACCAGGGGTCGACCCCGTTCTCTGTTTGGACAGAAACCGGAGAGGAGAGAAAGCTGGAGTTCCTGGTAGAGCCACTTCCTGTGACCAAAGTGGTGGGGGCCAGTGTGCTGCTGCCGTGTGTGGTGACGGGTTACCCCGCGCCCTACGTCCGATGGATGGTGGGAGACAAGCTTGTTGAGGAGAGGTGAGTTGGACCCAAAAGCCCTATTTTTAGAGAGAATTTAGAATTTGTATTCCTTGCAAACCAATTTCTTCCAAACCCAACAGTATTAATAAAAAACTAAAATGGCTGTAAAAGAAGGGCCCTTTATTGTCTAAGGACCCAACTGGAAATAAGTGTTTTTAATCTCCTCACTGCCGTAGGTTGCTTTGTTTATAGCCATCCATAGCACAGAAATCAAGTTGTCGTGTTCATTTGTACTGTTTGAATCATTAGATAATTGAATCAGTCATAAAAAATGTCCAAAAGGTAGTGTGAATGTGTTCCTCTAGCCCTCAGGCGTCCCTAGTCACACTCCTATAGCAGTACCCGGTTCCTTTGTGCCCTGTGCCCAAAGTGCAAACACTTAAAGGGCTGGCGCCTGTTCCCCGAGGTGTTCACGCCACTGGGCCTGAGTGTCTTGAGCGCGCCACCGACGGGGCCAACAACACTGCCACTTCAGCAGGAAGACAACAAGGCCGGGGCTGCCAGCCGTGTCTGGGAGTTCACAAATGAAAACCCTGGGAGAGCGTCACACTCTTAGCCCTCTCTCAGCAGAGCTGTATATCAAGCCAAACCCCTGGGAGAGCAGTGTGGACAGAATAGCGACACAGAATGGCGACACAGACTATCTGAGTTGACCCTTGTATTCATTTTAGCACTGTCTCTATAAACACTCACAGGACTCTACACACTAACACACACTGACACTCCAACACACACACACATACCATGCACACACATTTATACTGACTCTAGTCATTACACACACCCACTCACAAACAACCTTAATTTACGCTGCTGCTACTCTGTTTATAATACGTCCTGTTGCCTAGTCACCTTACCCTTCTTTTGGCCAATTCCAAAATTCCTGCCTTGGTTTGTGTGGGGTTTACCTGGTTACCACACAGCCATGTTTTCAGTTTGTCCCTTCCAGTAATAAGTATGTAAGCGAAGGGGACAGGCTAAGAAACAGAGAGGAGAGATGAGGGCTCATTATTTTAGTTTAAAAAACGTGTTCTCTCACCTTTAACACATCTCTACTGAAGTTCAGTTGGACACTAGGGCAGTGTCTCCTTCTAACGAGAACATCTTCCACATAGTGTCAGACACTTCCACATCAGCCTCTGTCTCTGTCCCAGTAGACTTGTCTATCTCAGTATGTTGGTCTTGGATGCAATGTGTAATTGTTAAAAACCACAGATGAGCGCGGCAGACTGATAATAGGGTCGTTATTAAGTTAAATATGAATGACAATATATGCTCTTCATTGGCCACATTCCCAAATATCCCTGTGGTCCTCTGGGATTGGGAGGTTGAGGGGGTGCTTACATTGTTAATTAGCGCGTGTGCTGAACAAATGGGAGGTCCTCCCTTCTTACCCAGCCCACTTTACCCAAGAACACGCACAGCCGTGTGCTGAATACATTAAGTTAGGCCATTCTAACACTGTAACACGGGACTGACAATTAAGCAACCGCCGGCGGAGTGGGGAGGTCTCGTCCTGTTTCTCCTTCAGCGTCCCTTCCCTCCCAGGCAAAGACTTCAGAGGAAGAGAAGCGCTGTCACTTTGTAATAATTGGAACGGAGTGAGGAAAAGAGGAGGGAATCCGTACGGAGCCTCTTAATTGGTCTACGGTATGGAACTGTATCGCAATCAGAGCTGTTAAAGTAGACTGTGAATCTCATATCTCCCACGAAAAGGAAGTGTATGGAGATGTGTGGAGATTGTGATGACTCGGTAGAGGGCGACGTTGATTTATGTTCAAGCTCTGGCGCTGACACTCAAAGGTGGTTGACGTCTCACTGCGGTAGCATCTCTGTCCTGGTAAAACCCTGTTTATAGGATGAGTCATAGAGAAGATGTTTTAAGACGTGGAGGGAGAGGGGTCTACAGTTTCTCTAGTGGGACGCCTCAACAGGGACGCTTCAACGGGGACTCCTCTACAGGGACTCCTCTGGGTGTTCTGTTTCTTAGAGAGGTCTGGAGATGAATTCTACTCGACGATATCTAGACAATGGCTGTTCAACACAACATTGGTAGTAGTAATTAGTGTGACTGAGGTTCAGAAGCCCTACTCTCGTTACAAGTCTCACAGGACAGACGTTGTAGTCCCATATTCTATCTGCATAGCCAACTCTTCTGTCATTCCTTCATTGTCATGCCATCGAACAATCAAATAATTGTCTACAGCAGGGATGGGCAACTGGTGGCCGGCGGCCCCCCCCCCCTTTTTTTTTTAAAGGCTTTTTTAAATGTAATTTATTTAACTCAGTCGGGGCCGAATACACAAGGTGCAATTTCAAAATTTGGTTGTGCAGCAGCAGTTTCTCTTATGTCAGTCACTGATAGTCACTCAATTAGCCCATGTCAGCTGAATGTTTTTGATTGGTAATCATAGTCGAATTACCGGCCGCGGTGCCCCCATTTGATTTTGTTAGTCAGTCTCACTCGGATATCATATTAAAATATGCTAACATTTCTCTCCACCCTATGGAAAAATGGGTAGAATTGCATGAAATTTGTAATAAAATTGCAAAATCTTCTCTTTGCCACATGGCAAAATGGGTAAAATTGCAGCAAACTTGCTTTAAAACTGCAACATTTTCTCTACACCACATAGCTAAATGTGTAGAATTGCACTAAATTAACTCTAAAACAAAAAAATATATATATCTCTGCTGTCGAGGGGGAGCACGTGGGTACGCAGACACGCGAGCAACTGCGGCCCTTCATGATGAGTTCAGATGTTTTGTGGCCTGTACATTCTAGCTCTGAGACCAAATCAGTAGCAATCAGCAAGGCTGTGTCCCTATGTAGCCCCCTGGTGGTGTGGATCTGCTAGTGTAGGGCAGTGGGATGAGGAAGCCATGAAAGGTGACCCTTTAAAATACACTTTATGGGGCGGCAGGTGCGTTGGGCCAGTAACCAAAAAGTTGCTGGATCGAATCCCCGAGCTGACAAGGTAAAAATCTGTCAGTTCTGCCCCTGAGCAAGGCAGTTAACTCACTGATCCCCGGGCGACGATGACATGGATGTCGATTAAGGCACCCCCCGCACCTCTCTGATTCAGAGGGGTTGGGTTAAATGCGGAAGACACATTTTAGTTGAATGCATTCAGTTGTACAACTGACTAGGTATCCCCTTCCTTTCCTTTATAAGTGAAGAAGCCTCGTGCCTAATTCTCTAACCCACACACACAATCACACACACTGAAGCTTTATAAAAAATACCTATAGCCAAGGACATAAGATTTGCCGTTTATCTGGTTTAAGCACAACACTAGCATGATGGTATGTTGCAAGTCACATGTTGAATATAAATTGTTCTCCTCACCAGTCTTGAATCTCCTACAAAATACCCAGGCTTGTAGCGACTCTTTAAATTTGCCCGTCAATCAGCTCTGCACACGCGAGGCCAACGATCATGAAAGCGACCGTCAGCTTTTGTTCTGGCGAATATCCTTCTATCACCTAATAGAATCCCCGGCAGTCAATAAAATGAATGAATAATGCATGACCGGCAAGCCACGGAATTGACATTGCATGTAAATCATGCCTCAAGCCTCTCAGAGCGGTCTCTTCTCCTTGTCTTGGCTCCCTCATTTCAATATGATTGGGTTTATGATATTTACTTATGTATGAATAGTGTTCAGCGGGGGAAATGTGTTTGCAGTGGGACCGTAATGGGATTACTTTCTACCCTCTTTGGCCTTGGGAAGTCCTACTTCTCGCACTGGAGTGTGCCGGTGCCGGCGGCAGGAGGACCTCGGGGCTTCTGTGCCGCTGAACTCTCCCAGATCCCACTGCACCTTTTATTATATACATTCATCTGTATTCTCCTTGTATTCCCCACGTAAGCATTTCCCATCGCTGTAGCCGCGTCCTTGACATTCTCATTTTACGAGCATCGTTTCTGCTCTACCAGAGTAGAGGAAATTACCTCTAAGTTAGCGGCACACTGTAGCCTACACAGCCGTGAGGAAATTCACTTGATGACCTGTAGTTGTAGTAACCCCCAAATAGATGCTTGAATAGGCTTTGTGTAGCTGTACTGTAGCTCAGACAGTCACTCTATGGAAATGGATCCTTTCCATCTGCTTGTTATCGGCGGCCTCTGGGTGGCCTACTGACAACGTAACAGTTAGAACTACCCCTGGCCTCATTGTACACCGATTACAGCACTATTGCTCACTCCGCCCTCCCAACCTCTGTGATTGATTTCTAGTTTGCAAGACCTCCGTTCTCGATCCAATTTTAGGTTAATCGCTGCGCTCTCGCCACTGGCGCTCTTTAACAAATGCTTTTTTAAGAGGCCCTGAAAATTGCCACAGCGTAGAAATATATATATATATAGGCGTTATGCAGCAGTTTTCCTCGGCATCTGGGAGAAGGCCTGTCAGACGCCACCTATCAATGTTAATGGGCTATGATTTTTGCTCACTCTTTTGTGCGGCGTCAGTATTAACAAGATTAACGGCGAGTCTCCGCCTTTCGCTAGCTCGCCGTTTCTGCATGCCAGATTTATAGCCCTCGAGCGTGCGTGGAAACGCCGTCTTGGCGTAACGCTCTGCTGCGGTGTTGGTAGGCAGGCACAAATCAAGTGTCATTGGAACACAAAATAAAATGGCTCCCTCACCTCAAGAGTTTTGGCTCGGAGAAGAGACTCATAAATGCTCATGTCGTCATACGTCCTATTAATACTGTCAGAATGAAACACATTGGAGGTCATTGACGGTTTAGCAATAATTTTTTGCTTTTTACATTTACTCATTGAATTAACTTGGTCCCTTTTAATTAAGTTGTCGATAATGATTCAAGTGTGCAGTCAGTTACTGTTATTACAGTTGGCCAGTACCGATCAACCACATACCTATGCCTGATTCTTACCAGACTATCAGAGTTCCATGGCTGTATCTCTATCGGATTGGCTGTTGTTTCTTCCTGCTGCTAGAATGATAGATGAAGACAGCCGAGTGGTAAGTAAATGGAGTGACATCACTGCCATGTTAGCTGAGAAAACAGACAGACCTGCTGTTCTCTGTCACTGGAGCAGAGGAAACAGACAGACCTGCTGTTCTGTCACTGGAACTGAGGAAACAGACAGACCTGCTGTTCTGTCACTGGAACTGAGGAAACAGACAGACCTGCTGTTCTGTCACTGGAGCAGAGGAAACAGACAGACCTGCTGTTCTGTCACTGGAGCTGAGGAAACAGACAGACCTGCTGTTCTGTCACTGGAGCTGAGGAAACAGACAGACCTGCTGTTTCTGTCACTGGAGCAGAGGAAACAGACATACTGTTCTCTGTCACTGGAGCAGAGGAAACAGACAGACCTGCTGTTCTCTGTCACTGAAGCTGAGGAAACAGACATACTGTTCTGTCACTGGAGCAGAGGAGAACTCTTTACAGTCTGTCCGTTAGTCTCTACACATCCCAGACATGGTTCTCTCCCCCACGGCATCCACTGTCCTTACCCTGCACTCAGTTACCAATGACAGATACAAGGGCTTCCTCCATACCCTAACCTTGCCAGAAGAACAT